TTTGGGGGCATGTGCAACCGGCGGCCCCCCCGCCGTGGCTTTTGGGGAGGCCGCAGGGAGGGTCGGGGCCCGCGAGGGCTGCGCTGGCTGCCTCGCCCACGCAGTCTTTCAGTCTTGGTGCTGCCTGTTGTTTTCAGTTTCTAACGGTCTGTTCTCTCTTCTCCCCTGACCCACCACAGAGTTCTACCTTGTAAATACTGTTATTTGTATATACTGTAAATGATGACATCGGTGGGCACTAACCGAGCCCGGGGGAACTGGGAGCAGACACAGACACAGAGCCAGACACAGCACAAGCAGCGGCCGCAGGTAAGGGCAGCGTCCATGGAAACCAGTTAGCTTGGAGGTGGAGACCTGGCACTGCTGCCTGGCCCGGCGCTAACGGCTGGCCTTGGCCTAACGAACTTCCCGCGTGCCGCAGGGTGTTCCTGCAGAGGAGGAGGGTCTTTCTTGCAGAGCCAGGTTAATTGGGCGGCCGCTGACAGTGGGGTTTCTGCAGCGGTGCTTCCGAGCAGGAACTGGGGCTGAGATTTGGTTTTACTTCCATCTGACCATTCCCAGTTCACGTTAAATCAACGTGAGTGGCTGAGGAGCCGCCTGTGGTGGTCTTGATGTTGTGGTGAGGCTAAGGTCTGCCTCGAAGTGGACGTGGTTGAGGTGACTGTCGCTCACCCAAGGCCATCCAGCAGTATCCCCCCTTCTTCCAGACTCCCCTTGCTCGCTCCTCTTCCTTCTGACTGTCTCTCTGAAGCTTTCCTCTTGCTGACCCTTGTTTGCGCCTCCTCCTCCTCGTATTGATTCCTTTCCGGAGATCCTGGGGAAGCGGTACGGCCTGTGGAGGAAGGTTTGTCAGAAATGTGCCACTCTAACCACGCGCTCTCTCTGCATTCCATTTCTTTAGGCCACTGCGGAACAGATTCGACTTGCACAGATGATTTCGGACCACAATGACGCTGACTTTGAGGAGAAGGTGAAACAAGTGAGTGTGGAAAGTGAGGGTGAACCCTGATGGGAAGGCAAGTGGGGGGGGGGGGGGTGAGGCTGGCTGCTCCCTGAATTTCCTTGGACTGGCTTGTTCCCTAGAAAGCAGAGAGCAGTGTTATCCTGAGAAAAGGAGGTTGTAGATTGGGCTGTGGTGAAACAACGGTTAACTCGGAACCTCCCACCTCAGTTGCTGCTCTTTGAGGGGGTGTGATTAAGCTGAGGAGACTCCCAAACCCTGACATCTCTCTGTAGGGTTTCTGGTTTGGGATTCAACTTGCTTCCGCAGAGATTTTGGTGCCACCTTGCTTTGGAACGTGCTGACTGTGGTGTTGTCTTCTCTACAGCTGATCGACATCACGGGCAAGAACCAGGATGAGTGTGTGATTGCTCTGCACGACTGCAACGGAGATGTGAACAGAGCCATCAACGTGCTGCTGGAGGGCAATCCGGACACGGTAGGATTGGGTCCTGTAAATCTGGTGAGGCCTAGTTCAGTGTAACTGCATATTCGGAGACAAGACGTACAGTAATGTCTAGATAACCAGAGCCAAAGTGACCAACTGGTTCCCCAAGTAGCTTGTAACGTGTGGCTGTGTCCTGGCTTCTTAACGCTGCTCTCCGTAGGCTTGCGCAGGATGGGAGTGTGGCCAGCAGGCCCGAAGGAATAGAGAGGAAAATGGAAGAAACCATTTGCTTCCTATTCCTTTTGAATCCAAGCACTTTGACAGCAGGGCAGTGGAATCTGTATAAGCTGTCATGCTGCCGTGGGTGTGAAGTAACTTATCTTTCCCCACGAGGGCCGCGTGACCTGTGTTAAAGGCAGGTCTGCGTCAGCTGTGGTTCCTTTCTGGTAGAGCAGTGCACTTTTGTGTCTCCGGCCCTAAATGTTCCCTTCTCAGTGAAGCGCTGGCTTGCGTGCTGCTGCCCGTGCTGCGTTTTTGAGGGTCTTTTTGCTGTTGGCTTTCTGTGGAGTTAATCTCGACCGCTGTCGCTCACGAAGCTGCCTGTCTCAGGCAAGCCAGAATCAGCTTGGAGACCAAGTGGATGCTCACTTAGGAGGAACCTTTCGCCAGTGTGCAGGGTGTCATTCATTTTGTGACGAAGACAGCAGAGACGCAGGTTCTGTTACAGCCCAGTTAAAAGCCTATAAAGATCAGATCCTTCCCAACTGCTGCTGATCAGACGTATCCTCCCACCACACTGGTTTGGCTGAAGCCACCTCACCTCTTTGTAGAGTTGAGGCTCTAAATATCGCTTCAGAATATTATGTGTCAGTTGTTTTTTTTCCTTAGTATTAGCCCTGAGCGTAGATGGATGAGCGGGGCAGCTCGGGCTGCGTTCTGTGTAGGGCAGCCGCTCCCCAGTGTCAGGTGCTTTGCTAGCTTTGGCACCGGCTGAGCTCAGTGCAGCCCACGGAAGGGTTCTTCCTTGCCTTTGGAGAGCCCTTTACTTTCACAACTGAACAAAACAGCCGCTGGAAAATCCTTTTAGAAAGGGGGATGATATGAACGTGCGTTGCTGAGGCAAAGCTCTGCTGTGACTGTATTTCCCTCCACATCCCTTGTAACCAGCGGCTTCTAGTTAAACGACAAACTCCTGCTATTGCAGCAACTGCATTTCCTAGATAAACACCTTGCTTGTGAAAACAGCATCCAGGATAGAGTGCAGCAAGGTGCGTTACGTAGTGGTACCTCCTTTATTTGCACAGCTGAACGCCCGGCAGCGTCAGATTCGGGGCGAGGCACGGCTGCTGCGGGGAGTTTGTAGAGGCAGAGACGGAGCTGGCAGAGCGAAGCCCCCGAGCGCCTGCCCCTTCTGCAGCCGGCAGTGCCGTGGGGGGCCCGGGGTTGGTGCCCACAGCGCTGGGCGCAGGCAGCTCTGCGCTGTGTGACCGGTCAAAGGTCTTGGAGCTGCTTTTGGCCTGGATTCAGCTGGTGCGGCAGTTCCGGCAATCCCATAAAGGGGATTTTTCTGATAAGCACCAGACTTGCTAATTGCTCAGATACTCACGTGGTGATGCAGACAGCTCACCTGCTGAGCTGGTTACTCATAACCTACCGTACCGTATTTCAAACAGTAAAGGAGCTGGCGTGATCTGAGCGTTGAGTTAGATTTGGCTTAAAATTACAGTATTCAAAGTAAATATTTTCCTAAATTTCCTTCTGAGCCAGAGACCTATGGAGAGAGACTTCAGAAGCCTTGGGTCTGAAGGCAGCTTGTGCCTCTGGGTGTTTTGTCACTGTCCCTGCATGTTGCCCTCCAAACCCAGCTGTTTACTTGTTTGCCAGTTCTGTTTTTCAGGTGTTTGTCAATGACTTGTGACTGTGTTTAGTTGTTGTAACAGTGTGCAGCATCATTTTAAGAATATGAAACCACTGCAGATGATCATAAAATAAACCGATGCAGGCCCACAGCCGTTAGCTGGGGGTGTGCTGAACTTCTTACAGTTGAACTTGGGATGACTTGAACTTGCCTGTTGGATCAATTCTGTGATGCTCCTCTCCCTGGGAGCTGCTGTGTAAGGGAGGGGCTTTGTTAAATCGCTCTGCGTCTGAGAGAACAGCTTACACTGAAATGTTGACTGCAGAGCACTTTGGAACATTTACCTGGGTTATTCTGAGAGCTCCCCAAATCGGTGACGTACGTGACATGGCAGGGTTGTCTGGGGTGGCGTTTTTTTTCCCAAAACACGGTAAATATATTGACACTTTGAACTTGAGTAAGTATTATGCTCTCTCTGTTTAAGAGGTTCAATATATCTTTGCAGAAATAGAATAACTCATCTCCTGTTACCTCAAACTGCGTGCCAGTCAGCTGTGAGAAGGCTTTTCTTGAGGGAAGAGGCTGTGCTGTGTGTAGGCTGATAGACTCTTCTTTAAAAATAAAATTGGACTGGAAACCATTTTTCTGGACGACCCTTGTTATCTTCTCTGTAGCATGATTAAATATGTGTGTATTTGCATCTTGCATCGATCGAGGTATGATTAACTTCTTTCCCCTTTGCAAACCTTCAGCATTCCTGGGAAATGGTCGGGAAGAAGAAGGGTGTCTCGGGACAGAAGGAGAGTGGACAGACAGAACCCAGTGAAGAAAGCAAAGAAAACCGGGAGAGGGATCGGGATTTCAGCAGACGACGTGGCGGGCCACCGAGGCGGGGGCGAGGTGCCAGCCGTGGAAGAGAGTGTATGGACCTGCCCTTTAATAACACCTGTAACTGTCACGGTGCACACCGAGGCACTCTGTGCTGCATAAAAGCTGTCAGTAAAGCTTCTTGGGCAGAGAAGTCTTTGAGGAGAACCATCCTCGTGTGTGTGGTGGTCTGTCTGATGCTCCTGTGGCTGAGATGATTCCTTGGGTCATACCCTCAATACCATCAGCTTAAAATAAAAGAAGTCATGGGAGCGTTTGGCGGCATGGTCTCCTGCATAGCCATCGCGCTTTGGTGTTTGAGGTCTGGTCTTGTATCCTCCCTCAAGCAGGATGAATCTTGAAATTGGCTTTGCGTCGTTCTGTCTTTCAGTTCGGGGCCAGGAGAACGGATTAGATGGTGGTAAGACTGGAGGATCTTCTGGAAGAGGCACAGAAAGAGGGAGACGGGGACGTGGCCGAGGCCGAGGTATGTGTGGGGTTTGAGGTCAGGGGGAGTGGGAGGAGAATCCCAGCATGGGGGGGGGTTGGCGGGCCCTCTGGGGATCCCCCCGCCCAATACACTGCCCAAGCA